GTGTAGACCTTACTGTGAAATGCTAACTTACAAGCACTTAACCAACAATAAATAAGAGTTAACAATACGTAAAAACGTATGCGCACATGACTGTAAGTCGCTTTGGATAAAAGCGTCTGCTAAATGGCATATTATTATTATTATTATTAAGAAAATATTTACTAAATAAACTAAAGTTAAAAAAAAGGAATCCAATAAAATAACAACAACGAGGCTATATATAAAGGGGGTACCGGTACCTAGTCAATGCAGGGAGGTACAGGTTAGTCGAGGTAATTGAGGTAATATGTACATGTAAGTAGGGGTAAAGTGACTATGCATAGATAATAAACAGAGAGTAGCAGCAGCGTAAAAAAAGGGGGTGTCAATGCAAATAGTCCGGGTAGCCATTTGATTAGCAGTTCAGCAGTCTTATGGCTTGGGGGTAGAAGCTGTTAAGGAGCCTTTTGGACCTAGACTTGGCGCTCCGGTACCGCTTTCTGTGCGGTAGCAGAGAGAACAGTCTATGACTAGGGTGTTCCTCTGACATCGCCTGGTATAAGGGTCCTGGATGGCAGGACGCTTGGCCCCAGTGATATACTGGGCCGCATGCAATACCCTCTGTAGCGCCTTGCGGTCGGATGCCGAGCAGTTGCCATACCAGGCGGTGATGCAACCAGTCAGGATGCTCTTGATGGTGCAGCTGTATAACTTTTTGAGGATCTGAGGACCCATACCAAATATTTTCATTCTCCTGAGGGGGAATAGGAATTGTCGTGCCCTCTTCACGACTGTCTTGGTGTGTTTGGAGCATGATAGTTTGTTGGTGATGTGGACACCAAGGAACTTGAAACTCTCGACCTGCTCCATATACAGCCCGTCGATGAAAATGGGGGCGTGCTCGGCCCTCCTTTTCCTGTAGTCCACGATCATTGATGACGTTGGGAGAGCTTTGTATGCGTCTCTGTGTGTGGAGTAAAGGTGGTCTTGTGTTTTTTTTCCTCTGGTTGCACATGTGACATGCTGGTAGAAATGAGTTAAAACTCTGGATGAGCATTTTCTTGTTTGCTTATGGCCTTATACAGCTCCTTGAGTGCAGTCTTAGTGCCAGCATCGGTTTGGGGTGGTAAATAGACAGCTACAAAATATATACAGTGAGGGAAAAAAGTATTTGATGCCCTGCTGATTTTGTACGTTTGCCCACTGACAAAGAAATGATCAGTCTATAATTTTAATGGCATGTTTCTTTGAACAGTGAGAGACAGAATAACAACAAACAAATCCAGAAAAAAGCATGTCAAAAATGTTATAAATTGATTTGCATTTTAATGAGGGAAATAAGTATTTGACCCCCTCTCAATCAGAAAGATTTCTGGCTCCCAGGTGTCTTTTATACAGGTAACGAGCTGACATTAGGAGCACACTCTTAAAGGGAGTGCTCCTAATGGGTTACAAGACCATCGCCAAGCAGCTTGTTGAAAAGGTGACAACAGTTGGTGCGATTATTCGCAAATGGAAGAAACACAAAATAACTGTCAATCTCCCTCGGCCTGGGGCTCCATGCAAGATCTCACCTTGTGGAGTTGCAATGATCATGAGAATGGTGAGGAATCAGCCCAGAACTACACGGGAGGATCTTGTCAATGATATCAAGGCAGCTGGGACCATAGTCACCAAGAAAACAATTGGTAACACACTACGCCATGAAGGACTGAAATCCTGCAGCGCCCGCAAGGTCCCCCTGCTCAAGAAAGCACATATACAGGCCCGTCTGAAGTTTGCCAATGAACATCTGAATGATTCAGAGGAGAACTGGGTGAAAGTGTTGTGGTCAGATGAGACCAAAATCGAGCTCTTTGGCATCAACTCAACTCGCCGTGTTTGGAGGAGGAGGAATGCTGCCTATGACCCCAAGAACACCATCCCCACCGTCAAACATGGAGGTGGAAACATTATGCTTTGGGGGTGTTTTTCTGCTAAGGGGACAGGACAAATTTACCGCATCAAAGGGATGATGGACGACGCCATGTACCGTGAAATCTTGGGTGAGAACCTCCTTCCCTCAGCCAGGGCATTGAAAATGGGTCGTGGATGGGTATTCCAGCATGACAATGACCCAAAACACACGGCCAAGGCAACAAAGGAGTGGCTCAAGAAGAAGCACATTAAGGTCCTGGAGTGGCCTAGCCAGTCTCCAAACCTTAATCCCATAGGAAATCTGTGGAGGGAGCTGAAGGTTCGATTTGCCAAACGTCAGGCTTGAAACATTAATGACTTGGAGAAGATCTGCAAAGAGGAGTGGGACAAAATCCCTCCTGAGATGTGTGCAAACCTGGTGGCCAACTACAAGAAACGTCTGACTTCTGTGATTGCCAACAAGGGTTTTGCCACTAAGTACTAAGTCATGTTTTGCTGAGGGGTCAAATACTTATTTCCCTCATTAAAACGCAAATCAATTTATAACATTTTTGACATGCGTTTTTCTGGATTCTTTTGTTGTTATTCTGTCTCTCACTGTTCAAATAAACGTACCATTAAAATGATAGACTGATCATTTCTTTGTCAGTGGGCAAACGTACAAAATCAGCAGGGGATCAAATACTTTTTTCCCTCACTGTAGATGAAAACTCTTGGTAAAGAGTGTGGTCTACAGTTTATCATGAGATACTCTATCTCAGGTGAGCAAAACCTTGTGACTTCTTTAATATTAGATTGACAAATAGACACACCACCCCTGTTCTGTCTTGCCGATGCAAGGAAAACTCAGCCAACTGTATATTATCCATGTCGTAGTTCAGCGACGACTCGGTGAAACATAAGATATTACCGTTTTTAATGTCCCGTTGGTAGGATAGTTTCGAATGGAGCTCATCCAGTTTATTCTCCAATGATTGCAAGTTGGCCAATAGGATGGATGGTAGAGGCGGGTTACCCACTCGCCAAATAATTCTCACAAGGCACCCGGATCTGCGTCCCCTGTATCGGCGTCTCTTCTTCATGTGAATGACGGAGATTTGGGCCTGGTATGGTATCAGCAGTAAATCCTTTGCATCCGACTCGTTAAAGAAAAAATCTTTGTTCGGTTCGAGGTGAGTAATCGCTGCTCTGATATCCAGAAGCTCTTTCCAAGATGTGGGAAGTGTGCAGGAGGGCATGAGATAGAAGATTGTGTAGTTTCGGTGGATAAAGTTGTGTGTGTCAACTGTAGGGTGCCCATGTTGCTGGGGATCGGAAGTGTCCGGTGCGAGAGAGGCAGGTTGAGGTGGCTAGAGTAGTGCAGAAGATGTAATATGCTGAGGCAGAGAAGAAAGTAGAGGAGGATGGGTCAAGGGTGAGGGATTCTGAGAGGATTCCTGTGAATAGTAGATCTGTGCCAGCACAGAGGGATAGGCCAATGAGTGATATACAGTATGCTTCAGTAAGGTTGGCTTCTTAGCGTTCATAGCAATGGTTGTCAATTGTACCGCAGAAATAGAACATAAATCACAGAAAATAGATGTCGTGGTGGCAGCTGCAGAGAAGTATTTGGGTATACCAGATTTGACTTCAGAAGAGTTACAGGGTGTGTTGAGTGGTGGTGTCCCGTTCTCCCAAGCCTTTGGCATGGTGCAGGAGCAGGTAAGGTCAAGGTAGTGAAAACAGTGTAGGGTTAGTTGGTAGGGTAATTAAACATATATTTGTATTTTATTTTAGTTTCCCATTTTCCCATTTTGTATCACAAAGAGTAAATGATGCAATGTTCCCTCTAAGCTGTGCATGTGCATTCAGGACTGCCGGGCAGAGCTCAGAAGAACTATCAGCCCACAGAGAGAAGCATAAGATTGAACTTCACTCAACTTTCTAGAGTTTTCCCTGTTAGTTAGATAACACTATCAATGTTTCCCTTTACTGTGGCAATTGTGATCGAGTCAACACAAAATTAGCTACCTTCAATGTAACATACAGAAACAAAACAAACTATGCAAGAGATTTTGTTGTAGGCAGAACACATCGGAGTAGGATTCTATTGTGCATGACTCAGCCTGTACTCTACACAGACAGGTGCGGCATAACCAATCAGAACTGCAGTAGGCCTATATGCAAATAGACAATTGCCATATATGGATCTGTGCCATTTACTTTGATCTGGACTGTATTTACAGCTGTGGTGTTAATCATGGGCTTGTTTTGAGATCGAAGCAAGAGCTGCATGTAGCCATGTGTGCACATTTTGTTCATATCCTTTGCTAGTTAGTGAGTTATTAGCTCAGTTATAGATAATTTGTAGTCAGCAATAGGGGAGTGATTGCTTCCTACAAGAGGACAAAACGTGTACATCTTTGAAAAGCTTGTCAGGTGAATACATTTTTTTTGTCTTAAAGGGGCAGTGTTGTATTTTGAGACAGGCTTGTATAAGCCAATAGGCAGAGGGTAGCATAATTTGTCTGATTCTCTGTAATAATGGTATGGGAATAATAATGCATTTTATTTTGTAAAGTGGTTTCTTGCATCAAACAACACAAAAACATGTTATGTCACTTCCTTGTCTGAAGGACAAGTGGATACACAGGTTAATGTCAAAACCTGCATGTTTTTTTTCAAAAGTCTCATGGAATGTAGGCCTACATTGAACACCACACATGTGCTACTACTGCAGGCTGAATAATAGAACAGCTATTTCCATGTTAAAATGTTATGGGATGCATTTTCTCCATTGTTTTTTTTATGGTAGGCCACTCTGGTAGGCCTACATTATGATCAAATAGCCACAATAGCCTACTTGGCCACTGTTAAAACTGTAACTTAAAGTGGGTACAGCCTCAGTGTTCACAGTAAAAGTGCGCTGGAAGTTGAACAGAATTTTCTCTCAGCAGACCTGAAATTTGCTCAGTACCGATTTTTTTTTGAGGGAACGTTGAAGGTATGTACTATAGTTCCTTTGGGGGCGGTACTGCAAATATTGGATGCCAACCGCCGTTAAACTCCACCAAAGAAGAAGTACAACCCCCCCCCCCCCCCCCCTCCCCCCTCCCCCCTCCGACTCCATCTGCGTGACAAAACACGGAAGTGCTTTGGTCTGTTGTTGACAGGTCTTTTCTGTCCTGTGTTGGGCCTCGCTACAGCATTAGCAACGGATGGAAATGTCTCCTGCAGTAAATATATATTTTATAGGAGGTTATTATCCGTTATGTTTTTAGATAATAATTCATATTTAACCTGTTTTATCTTGGGTGATAATCACTGGTCAGCTAGCTAGCCATGTTAGCCAACGTTAATTTACAAATTCTGGACAGGCTATGGATTATTACTCCTAGTTAAAAAGCTTGTAGTATAACAATATAGAATATTGGAACCATAATTTAAAAGGGTAGCTAAGTATCTTCTTGTTTAGTCAGATAATGTATGTAGTTAATATAATAAGTGGCTAGCTACCTTGACTTAATAACTTAGTACAATATTTATGGTTAATGATATTCGACAGGTATTGTGACAAGTGAAATTAAAACTTTGAAGCTAATTAAAACAATTTTTCTTGTTTCCTTATAGATGTCAGTGGAACTCGATGTGTTTGTGGTTAACACCACCATTATGGACGAGGAAGTCTATCAGTTATGGCTGGATGGCTACACAGGTTTGGCCCACAACATTCACCAACTCACACACATATAGCTATACTATACACAGACATCCATCAAAGTTACTTAATCAAATTATCTATGACATAAACCGTGAATCCTGTTTCTTTTCTGCCCCATCCTCAGTGAATGATGCAGTGAAGGTTCGTATGGAGGGAGGGGTATTGGAGGGGTGTGAAGCCAGTGCTGAGGTTCTGCACAGTGACACCATGGATCAGTACAGAACCTTCCAGATGTGTGAGCGCCTCCTGCACAGCCCTGCCAAACTGGCCAATCAGCTGTTGTTCCAGATCCCACCTCATCGCCAGGCCATGCTCATAGAGAGGTGCTCTACCAACTCCTGATACACATCTTTATATCTTATCTCCCTCTGCCTTAAACGTCGCCTAATCTGTCAGTCTGTCTCTCTCCTCATTCCCTGTGTAAAGGTACTATGCGTTCGACAGCGTGTTTGTGCGAGAAGTCCTTGGGAAGAAACTCTCAAAGGGGACCAAGAAGGACCTTGATGACGTCAGTGCAAAGACTAGCGTCACACTGAAGAGCTGCAGGCGGCAGGTAGCAGAATCCTAAGAGGGACTCTCCCAATAACAATCACTATATCTCAGACCTGTAACATTGGTGAGACTGTCCTGCCTGTACAGATTCTATGAGCTCAACAGAGCTCTAGACACTGCTATTTTCTGAATTATCACCTTTTTCTCCTAGTTTGATAACTTCAAGCGTGTATTCAAAGTTGTGGAGGAACTGAAGGGACCCCTGGTGGAGAACATTCGTCAGCACTTCCTTCTCTCTGACAACCTGGCCAGGTAACAGTAGAATAGAGTGGAATTTACAATTCAATGTGATATAATCTTGTCTCCATTTCTTTTTTACACTTTTTATGGTTTTATAAAACTCTTTATGTCTCCTCTTCTCAGGGATTACGCTGCCATCGTTTTCTTTGCCAACAATCGCTTTGAGACGGGGAAGAGGAAGCTGCACTATCTTACATTCCAGGACTTTGCCTTCTGTGCAGGGCAGCTCATCAGCAACTGGACCGTGGGAGCATTGGGTGAATCCCTGATCTATCAGATGTGCAGTGCAATCAGTCCTGATTCGTTATGAGGCCTGCATTAATTGAAGTTCTGCAAACAATTATACAATCACAGCACTGTAATATAATATGGCAATATCAAATGTCTGAAGTAGTTTGTCTTCTCAGATAACATGGTGGAAGACATGGACGTGGATCTTGAGAAGGAGTTCTTACAAGATCTAAAAGAACTGAAGATTTTAATCACTGACAAGGATCTGCTTGACCAGCACAAGAGGTATGAGAGTGTGGTTCATTTGTTATTGATTGCCTGATTTGTATGTTAATGATTGGTTTTCTTTGAGTTCCTGTCAAGAATTCACATAAAGATTTTTTCTCTTCATATTGTGTGTGTACATTGTGTGTGTTGTATTATTATGAATGATAATATTTGCTCTTGTTCCTGTTTCTCTTGTCCCCTCTGCTCCACTCAGTTTGGTGTGCACAGCTCTCCGGGGGAAGACCAAAGCGTTTAATGAGATGGAAGCCAACTTCAAGGTGAGTGACGACACATGCTTGTGTTTATCCAACATGGCTGCTATAGCAACAACAGACCACCCAGTTTCATAGGAGGTGATGTCCAGTCCAGCCTACTACAAACATCTGTAAATCAGTCAATAGAAAGTGTGGTAACCATGGTTATATAGGGTCAAATGTGCACATAAATTGTCTAATTCAAACTGTTCACAAACAGTTTGAATTATTTATAAACTGCAGTATCAAAAACCTTGTAATTATTTGATAATTATTTGAAACAAACTCTTCTCTCTATTTTCGTCCATAGAATCTCTCCAGAGGCCTTGTCAACATTGCTGCCAAACTAACCAACACAAAAGACGTCAGAGACTTCTTCATTGACCTGGTGGAAAAGGTACATTTATAAATCATTAGTAGTGTCGTAGTAAATCTTTCATCTCTATATTCAACACTGGCTCTGGCTTATGAGGCCAATAAGGTCTACAGACATTTGTGCTACCCATGAGACTGTGATGTCATCTCTCCCTCTCCGTTCCTCCGTTCCTCCCTCCCTCCCTGCCAGTTTATTGAGCCGTGTCGGTCAGACAAATGGACAGCAGGAGACATGAGGCTCTACCTCACTCACTACACTAACTCTGCACACATACTCGACACATTCAAGTGAGTATAATATAGTTGTTATACATATTATGCTGTCTGTCTCATCAAGGCCATCAAGGTGACATAGGCTGCAGTTGTATATTTTTCTTCATATTCACATCCTAGTTGTCACCAGTGGGTGTCACTGCATCTCCCTCCATGTTTCTTTAAACTATAGTTACCTTGTTTCTCGCACAGCCATTCTGGAATGTAGTTAACGGTTTACACAACCCTGCACCACGACACACTCAACAAAGACATATTCATCGGACAACCATATTAAAACATAGGCCTCTCATTAAACTGAATGAACAAAGATCACTCCATATTATGAACCTTGGCCAGCTCTCATAATGAGAATTTGTTTTGAGCCTTCTCTATTCTCCTTCTCTCTTCCTCTCTCACAGACACCAGGAAGTGTGGGACAGGTACATGGGAGTGATAAAAAGCTGCATCCTCAAAATGTACCATGACTGAGATGTTTCCTTGCTCAACTATCTACCCGGAACTTTCTGTCATCTTTCTATTGGAGTCGTGTCTTCTTTCCCTCCTTTCCTCTGCAATCGTCATGTAAATCCTCCGCTCCGTCTGTCAGATGTCTTCCTCCTCTAATGCCAGTTCCCACATTTCTCCGTCCTTCATGCCGTTATGCTGTTTTTTTCCCCTCGGTCTCTTCTGACGACCTACTTTGCAATGTCATCATGTATATCACATCATTTTTATTGTAAATAAAGTCAACTCATTATATACTGACGGTGTCTCTGTGCTGATTGTATTGCAGATCTGTGTAGGAGATAGGGTGTGTGTTTGGGCATGTGTTGTGAGTTCTTGTTTATGTTACAATGTCAGATGCAAAGTACTACGATTAAAACCTAACGGCAGCTGCAGGGGTTGAGACCCATTTTGTCCAATATAACACTTAGATCTTTCACAGCTTTAACATGCCAATAAAATGGTTAGAATCTCATACATCCCAGTATGGCTGAATGAATATGGGTAATGACTATATTGGGAATACATCTGCATAGTAAATTAAGCCTAAGTGAATTAGAGTGGATTATGAAATGAGAAGACAGTAGTGAATTGTATGCAGTGTGTCTGTGTGGCCACTGGGGGTTGGGTAGCAGCAACGGGAGGGGGACGCAATTTGTCAGATCTGGGGGAGGGTTGGGATTTCTGACAGTGATGTCTCATCTGTGATGACAGCTGTCACCCCCCACACACATAACAACCCATGATTAGGTATGTGCAATGACAATAATGACACTGCTCATTTCCATGTCAACTAGGAATTTGAAATTATAACTAACAATTTAGACACTAAGATAATAATATTGTAAAAAGGATTAACATATTTCTCTGTCTGTATACAGTAGTAGAGCTGTCCTGAAGTACACAGCTTTCATGTAATTGTCAGAAGAAATAATGTGTTGTCAAAGCAGTAGTACTGTAGTTATAACAAAACCTCTTGAAGAAATGGATGATGATTACTTCAGAGCTTCTTTCCATGCTTTTACATATAAACATGTCTGTCTCTCTGTATATCATCCAGAAAGGACCTCCAGTTTAAATATTTACCGATAGTTAGAAAAGCTAACCCCTTTTCCAAGAGGGCTTGTCTCTTTCCCTCTCTCCTCTGCTAAAAGTTTTGTCCACATTCCACCAACTTCTCTCCCAAGCTATAAATATCCGTCTGTGTCAGATTGGACGGGAGTGAAGGAAACTAAGTGGCTGTACAGAAAGAGAGAAAAAGATGGGGGCGGTAACGATAGATAGATGGGGGGTAAATGGGGAGTGGGGGAGCGAGTTGTGGAGCTGTGGGGGTGATTTGAAATGAAACCAGGTGCGTTGCGTGACCAGTGAGTGGGGGCACAGGGGGGAGGTGGGTGTAAGTGGGAGTATGTGTGTGAATCTATGCAAGTTGTTGTTCCGCCTGTGATTTGGACAGATTTGGAATTTTGGAATTTGGGCGTCAGACCAGGAATTTGCATCCAGAGGGGTCAGGGAGGGGGGTCAGTGGGAGGGTGGAGGATGGCAGTGCAGGGGGCCAGAGCGGGGGTAGGAATGGGCTGTCCTTCTCTCTCCCTCTCTCTTTTTCTCTCCCTCCCCTGCACGCATTCAGCTGCTCCAGCTGTCGATCTCCCCACTCACTTTCTCAGGGCCATAGATGCAGGAGCAGGACAGACAGAGGGACCACTTTAGCTCTCCACACTCACAACACACCAGGGACTACCACCGCCAGGGGACTAGAACAGCACATCGGGCACAGGTCAACAAGGACACAAACTAGGGACCTGAAGATAACAGGAAGAAGAGGATTTCACACAAAGAAAGAAGACTTGTCTGTGAGTGCACCATGTTTTACAATGACTGTGTGTGGGTTTGAAAGAGAGAGGGGTGTGTGTGTGTGTGTCTATGAGAGTGTTTGCGAGTGAGTAACCAAGTGTGTGTGTATGTGTGTCACAAAGTGTGTGTGTTTGCTCCTGGAGGGGGTGGACACGTCACAGTTAAACCATTGCTCTCCTCTCAACCTCCACAGCTACAGTTGAATCCTTACAAGAGCTGAGGTGGCAAGACCCTGCGCTTGTGTGTGTGTGCTATGTGTGTTAGAGAGGGAGTGGGAGGGAGGGACAGAGAGCATGTGTAAGATAGTATGTGTATTTGTAAATGGAAATGTATTGCAAAATTCTCATACAGATCCAACTACTATTTCACAACTATTTAATGTCACAATCACAAAGTCTATTAATATCTCCTGCAAACCTTTTGCATGAAAAAGCCTGCTAGACACATGGTCAGCTAAGATGAAACCCTAAGTTCAGGATTTGTTATTCGGAAAGACTTGCTTAAGTGGGAGGAGGAGCAAACAGCCCTACCTTACCATATGGCCAAACCAAGGGACAACCAGACAACCACATCAAACTAGAGAGACAGGTGCCACCCAATGGCACTAAACACACACTGTATACACCCTCACTCCTATACACACACACACACACGCACACACACACACACACACACACACACACACACACACACACACACACACACACACACACACACACACACACACACACACACACATACATACAGTTGAAGTCAGAAGTTGACATACACCTTAGCCAAATACATTTAAACTCAGTTTTTCACAATTCCTGACATTTAATCCTAGTAAAAATTCCCTGTCTTAGGTCAGTTAGGATCACCACTTTATTTTAAGAATGTGAAATGTCAGAATAATAGTAGAGAGAATTATTTATTTCAGCTTTTATTTCTTTCATCACATTCCCAGTGGGTCAGAAGTTTACATACACTCAATTAGTATTTGGTAGCATTGCCTTTAAATTGTTTAACTTGGGTCAAACGTTTCGGGTAGCCTTCCACAAGCTTCCCACAATAAGTTGGGTGAATTTTGGCCCATTCCTCCTGACAGAGCTGGTGTAATATAGTCAGGTTTGTAGGCCTCCTTGCTCGCACACGCTTTTTCAGTTCTGCCCACACATTTTCTATAGGATTGAGGTCAGGGCTTTGTGATGGCCACTCCAATACCTTGACTTTGTTGTCCTTAAGCCATTTTGCCACAACTTTGGAAGTATGCTTGGGGTCATTGTCCGTTTGGAGACCCATTTGCGACCAAGCTTTACCTTCCTGACTGATGTCTTGAGATGTTGCTTCAATATATCCACATAATTTTCCTTCCTCATGATGCCATCTATTTTGTGAAGTGCACCAGTCCCTCCTGCAGCAATGCACCCCCACAGCATGATGCTGCCACCCCCGTGCTTCACAGTTGGGATGGTGTTCTTCGGATTGCAAGCGACCCCCTTTTTCCTCCAAACATAACGATGGTCATTATGGCCAAACAGTTCTATTTTTGTTTCATCAGACCAGAGGACATTTCTCCAAAAAGTACGATCTTTGTCCCCATGTGCAGTTGCAAACCGTAGTCTGTCTTTTTTATGGCGGTTTTGGAGCAGTGGCTTCTTCCTTGCTGAGTGGCCTTTCAGGTTATATCGATATAGGACTCGTTTTACTGTGGATATAGATACTTTTGTACCCGTTTCCTCCAGCATCTTCACAAGGTCCTTTGCTGTTGTTCTGGGATTGATTTGCACTTTTCGCACCAAGGTACGTTCATCTCTAGGAGACAGAATGCGTCTCCTTCCTAAGGGGTATGACGGCTGCGTGGTCCCATGGTGTTTATGCTTGCGTACTATTGTTTGTACAGGTGAACATGGTACCTTCAGGATGAACCATACTTGTAGAGGTCTACAATGTTTTCTGAGGTCTTGGCTGATTTATTTTGATTTTCCCATGATGTCAAGCAAAGAGACACTGAGTTTGAAGGTAGGCCTTGAAATACATTCACAGGTACACTTCCAATTGACTCAAATGATGTCAATTAGCCTATCAGAAGCTTCTAAAGCCATGACATCATTTTCTGGAATTTTCCAAGCTGTTTAAAGGCACAGTCAACTTAGTGTATGTAAACTTCTGACCCACTGGAATTGTGATACAGTGAAATATAAGTGAAAGAATCTGTCTGTAAACAATTGTTGGAAAGATTACGTGTCTCATGCACAAAGTAGATGTACTAACTGACTTGCCAAAACTATAGTTTGTTAACAAGAAATTTGTGGAATGGTTGAAAAACGAGTTTTAATGACTCCAACCTAAGTGTATGTAAACTTCCGACTTCAACTGTACATACATACATACATACATACAGTGGGGAAAAAAAGTATTTAGTCAGCCACCAATTGTGCAAGTTCTCCCACTTAAAAAGATGAGAGAGGCCTGTCATTTTCATCATAGGTACACGTCAACTATGACAGACAAATTGAGAAAAATAAATCCAGAAAATCACATTGTAGGATTTTTTATGAATTTATTTGCAAATTATGGTGGAAAATAAGTATTTGGTCACCTACAAACAAGCAAGATTTCTGGCTCTCACAGACCTGTAACTTCTTCTTTAATAGGCTCCTCTGTCCTCCACTCGTTACCTGTATTAATGGCACCTGTTTGAACTTGTTATCAGTATAAAAGACACATGTCCACAACCTCAAACAGTCACACTCCAAACTCCACTATGGTCAAGACCAAAGAGCTGTCAAAGGACACCAGAAACAAAATTGTAGACCTGCACCAGGCTGGGAAGACTGAATCTGCAATAGGTAAGCAGCTTGGTTTGAAGAAATCAACTGTGGGAGCAATTATTAGGAAATGGAAGACATACAAGACCACTGATAATCTCCCTCGATCTGGGGCTCCACGCAAGATCTCACCCCGTGGGGTCAAAATGATCACAAGAACGGTGAACAAAAATCCCAGAACCACACGGGGGGACCTAGTGAATGACCTGCAGAGAGCTGGGACCAAAGTAACAAAGCCTACCATCAGTAACACACTACTCCGCCAGGGACTCAAATACTGCATTGCCAGACGTGTCCCCCTGCTTAAGCCAGTACATGTCCAGGCCCGTCTGAAGTTTGCTAGAGTGCATTTGGATGATCCAGAAGAGGATTGGGAGAATGTCATATGGTCAGATGAAACCAAAATATAACTTTTTGGTAAAAACTCAACTCATCGTGTTTGGAGGACAAAGAATGCTGTGTTGCATCCAAAGAACACCATACCCACTGTGAAGCATGGGGGTGGAAACATCATGCTTTGGGGCTGTTTTTCTGCAAAGGGACCAGGACGACTGATCCGTGTAAAGGAAAGAATGAATGGGGCCATGTATCGTGAGA